AAGAAACTTAAACCACATTTCCTCAGTAAACAATACAATTGGTGTAACTACAGATGTTTCCAATGAGACTTCCCTTCCTGAACTTTTAAAACAGCTCTACGTGCCTCCACAAACGTCTGATCACGTGACAACCTCCCCTTGTCCTTTAGTGACCTATGGCCAGATTAAGTTTTCCAACTATTGCTGAATCAGACCAGGGAGCTTAATGAGGATGGAGAAACAGTAAGACTGTGGTTGCATGTATGAGGCTGAGGGAGACAGTATGTGCCTGTCTCTGTCATTTAACAGAAATACAGTCCCTTATGTCAAACCGACTTTATGTTACATGGTCTCTTAAGGCTTAAAAAAGAGGCCCGAAAAAAGCCTATTACCTATGCAAACTGATGTCACCCAGAGAAGTGCTGTGAATGTTTTCGGTTAAAAGCATCAGAGAGGAGGGAAAAGTATCTGTGCTATCACTGTGCAGAGGAATAGAAAATGTACTTATGGACGCAGGGACAGGTAACACATGCGGTGCATTGTGTGACTCGCTTTCACGCCGTAATGGCTGTGTTATTCGCAAGAGCGCCACATCCATAGCACTGTATGGAATCATAAACGAGACCAGAAGCTATCATCATTACCATTAGCTATGAAGCAGTCGCCTTAGCGGGGATCATTGCTCCCCTCAGGGATGCAAATTATCCACACGTTGCTCCACAGCTGGGCGAGATTGAGATCATCTGAGAGAAAATCCAGTTTGCCAATAACCCCCAGCTTTAACTGTTCACTGGGTTTCATAATCTCCACACTGCTGGAAACACCTTCTCATCAAGTCATTTCCGTATTAATTTGTAAAACATTATTTATTAAACCAAGTGAAACAATGAGATATTTGGCAACAGCTCTGAATACTGACTGAGACCTATTTTCAGAAACAGAGAAAATTATTTTTACTGCCCTTGGGAATTTGTTTATGATTTGCTTCAAACAGATATTCATTTATTAAGATATTTGTTAAATGTTTAGGCAGTTTTCAGCTCTGTTGTTTTTAAATGTGAATATATATCCTGAGCACCTGACAGTAAAAATCACAGAACAGCTAATACGTGGGTAAAATAGATAGATGGTGGTGGAATAAGTGGAAAGACTAATATAAAGGAATATAATTTGGACAAGCTAATGCAATGCTTTGAGTATACACTCTGATGGACAACAATGGTGTACATGCTCTCTCAGCTTTTTCATTAAACCGGTTCATTTTAATCGACTTCTTCCTTGAACACTAATCCCTTCAATCCACTGATCCGTGGATCCTCAACTTGATGCTGCTTCCTAAATTTGAAAGTAAAGGAAGAAAATGCCACAGCTTCTAAACTATAAGTGGATTTTAACACCCCATGCACAGAACACAGAAAAGCACAGGACGTCTATGAACAAACACAACACAGCAATGTCCGGATACCAACCTTTCTTTGAAGTCGAGAAAGATCTTCCCCAGGCCGCTTCCTCCACTGACCATGTTCATTTCAATGGCTCGCAAGAGAGCAAAGTGGACTTTGATCACATCCTAAAGGAAAAATAACAATAAAAAGTAGAATTTCATCATCACCCCCAGCCTGAAACATTGACACAAGGCTGGACGGATCCATGGTTTCACGTTGTTTATGATCCTACAATCCAAATGTTGTAGCTGAAATTGAGACTCATCAGACCGGACAACTTTTCCAGTCTTGTACTATAGAAAATGTAGTGAGGCTGTGCAAATTGTAGCTTTATTACAGTAACTGATCTTTTTTCAAGGTTCATTGTATTCGGAGGTGCTCCTCAGCATTCATTGGTTATTACGAGTGGCTATTTGAAGCAGCCTGGACATTCTCTTCTGACCTCTGGTATGAACAAGGCGCTTTCTCACAGGCAACTGCTGCTCACTGGATATTTTCTCTTTTTCAGAATATTCTGTGTAAACCCTAGAGATGGTTGTGTGTGGAAAAAAAGCCCACCAAATAAGCAGTGTCTAAAATACCAAGACCAACCAGTCCAGCAGCTAATAGCCATACCACATTGAAAGTCCATTAAATCACCTTTCAGCCCCTGATACTCTACTTAAACTTCGGCAGGTCTTGACCGTGTCTACATGCCTTAATGTGCTGGGTTGCTGCCATCTGAGTGGCTGATTAGATATTTGCATTAATGCTCTGTCTGATTTTCAGCTATTTGGTCCTATGTGAAGCACTTCAAAGTGCAACCAGGATGAAAGGTACAAATAAAGTTTAATTAACTGATACAAGAACTCATCTTGAAACATTTAGTACACATTGTTGCCCTCTCTATTAAACTCTAATTAGTTCAGATTGCTAAGTGAAGATATAGTTGAGAAGTTGTATTTTTAAGAGAGACTGAGAACACACTCCTTCTGAATGTGATCATCTTTGCTATTTAGGTTATGTTGCCTAATTGCCAGAACGCTGTGCGTCTATGTGGCTTCTATGTCCCAGAAAAAGAGAACAGAGGAGATCAGCAGTATAGACCTTTTTCACAAAGGTGGCTAAACATTTATTGAATATTACAGTTATTTAACATATTTTATAACCCAAGATTATTCGACATTTCTCATGAACAAGCAAGTATGAATCCCTGCTACTTTATCACCACTTTCAAATCTCCATAAGCAGTCTGCAGCTCTCAGACATAATGCATAAACCTGGGAGAAGCTGGGCAATACTGTGACACACATTAAAACAAACACAATGAGTATTTACAGTTCAGGGCCAAATTAAACTATAAATACTCATTATAGGAGAGACTCAAATAAACTACAGCTGCTTTGTGTGTTACAGGTCAGCAAAACAGGGTGACTCATTAACATAATTTAATGCAACTCTAACCACATGTGGTCCAGAGTGCGTGGTGGTATTTTACACCAATGAGGCATATTTTCTCGGCAGGAATGTTGACTGCTTTCTACTCTGGCCGTGACGAAAACACTGAGCAATGACAACACACTCAGCCCGAAGCAAAGCATGAATTTTCACAGCTTTGCACCCCTTAATATACAGAAAATATAAACAATAGATCCCATCATTCTTTCAGCCATCCATACACATATCGAGTTATTCGCTTGGTGTGAAACGCATCCAGGTGTGCCGCACTGGCATTATGTTGTCTCGTAGAGTGGTTACTCACCTCCAGGTTTACAAAGATAGCCTCCATGTCCTGTGGACTCAAGACTTGCCTCAGTGGGATCATGTAATTCTTGAGGAAAGGAAGAAAAAAAAAAAGAAAATTGGTGATTTTATGGGTTTTTTTGTTGTTTTTTTTGAATAGCCACAGATTTCCCTTTTACAAACAAACAGTATAACTGGCATTTTCTCTCATGTCATGTGTGAACAGTTCACAGATCTGTGAAAATGACCCACAAAAATATCAGGCTGTGTTGTAAAAAATCCTTTTGAGGGCTAAGTGTGCAATAAATACATACAGCTGTTATTTACGAAGCCCACTTATGCTTAGAGAGGAAAAAAATATACTTTTTATTTCTCTAACGCTGCTTTATGGTTGTCACATTTCATCATCATAATGATAACAAATAGATCAACTAAGAAGCAACGCAAAGATAACTGGGTTTATTAACCCCAACTCAATTAAGCTTAACGAGTCCTCTGATCATAAGAAGGTTATTTATTCTAATTTAGACTTGTGCTGGTCTGGTGTGGGAAACACAGGATGCACATTTAGTTTAATGAAATTAGCGGAGCGGATGATTTGTGGCGCTCCATGAAATCGTGAATGAAATCTGTCAACGCGGAAACTGATGCCATACCAGCGCCGATCTCAGCGATGGTTTATTACTACACCGTGAAAGCTCAAACGTACGCGTCAGGGTGTGAGGGTCTGAGTCTTTGAGCACAGAAAATATGTTGTTATAGACAGAATGTTTGTTTTTGATTTTCTCAGTAAACGGCAATCATACTTTGTAAAATGTTGTGTGTCCTGTGCTTCGCAAACTTCACGGCTCATATTCAGAAGACACACCGAGACTTTAGTCCTGGATAACTGTGAGAATGTTTCAGTGTCATTCCCTAATAAGCTAAAATGAATTGTGACCAACTGTGCTACAATTACGTGAATGTAGCGTGAAAAGTCAATGTTTTAAATATGCTAACTCAATTAAAGAAACCGTGTCAGCAGGGAGAGAGTCACGGCTGTTTCTAGCTTTCTGTGTTACATCTGCTAAATATTATTATTATTATTGTAATTAGTCAGACAGACAGACACGTACCACAAAGACACATTATACAGTAATGTGAAAAAGTCTTGAATCCACTTTTTTATTTTTCATTAGGAAAATCCAAAATAGGCGTAGTGATTTATTGAAACACACAAACATAAACAGAAATATAGAACATAGGGGAAAAACAAGGTTTGTACAATTCTGCTGAACTTGACAGTCAGTATTTGGTATGGCCAAATTTATAATTCAAGACAGACAGAACTCTCTTAGAAAAGCTTTCTTGTAATTCTTTTAGTCTTTAGGATGTTCTCAGGGCTTCTTGCAAGACATTTAAAGCAGTTAAAAATGTTTCTTTCTCAGTTAGGCCTCCTGGCATTCTTTTGTTATTTAGGTTTTAATAGGTTTCATTTGTTTTTATTTTATTTTAATGTGGTTCTTTTTTAATATTGTTTACTAGTTTTTCTAGATTACTATTAACAAAATGTCTAAAGATATCATTTTAAACCATTTTTTTGCCAAGTTGTCTGCTATGTGCAGACAGCAGTGGTTCTCGAGTTAGGTGTCTTTTTAATGCCTGAACTATTTTTTGCTTTAGTCGTTTAAGTGACTTAAATAACTATTCAAATTATTTTGAACGTCAGTCAGCTAAAAGGACTGTACTAAAAACGTCACTGAAAAAGACAAAAAAAAAAAAAAAAAGACAGCCACTGTCCAAAGAAGAAACACTTGCAGAAAAACCTCAAGGCCTGTTGCTGAAGACCAGTAAAAACACACACACACACACACACACACACACACACACAAAAGAAACAAAATAGAAAAAATAGTCTGGCTACCTGCAAAGAAAATATAAAGAAATGAAAGTGACTGTTGCACAGCACTACAGACAATAAGAAAATAATGTGCAAGGGTAGGAGCAGAAAAATAAATATAACCTTTTAAAATGTTCTAGTGGAATAAGTGAATAAAATAAAAGTAAAATAAAAACTAAAATTAATACAAATGAATAGCTTCACTTTTATTGTAGTATATTCCCTTTGTAGGCAGCAAAGTATTAATCAGTTTTTCTAAGCTTGATGTGAATAAGTCACAGCTAATGTTACAATGACCTGATATAATTACTGTGTTTAAATGTAATCACAGAGCGGGCAATCTTTGCAGCAGAGCCTTGTGAATAAATATAATCCAACACTGCTCCCTTCTCTTTGCCAGAGATGATCGTTCTCTTTCATACAAATACTGTGTGGAGTAAGAACAATCACCTGTGATAAACTTCAACACACAAAGAATAAAACACCTTTAAGGTGGGTGGAGAAGCATGCATATAAACAAATTTTATGATTAATTATTTCAGAAATATTTATTTTTCCCCGACACACATAGAGTATGTTCTCTCATATGTGATGTGTACTTAAAGGCTTAGGGATCAGCGTCATCCTTGAAAGCTGAGATAATAATAATCATATTGACCTACTTCCATGACACTTGTGTTCAAATATATATGACATTTCCATGCTGTGACCTGGCCCAAAGGTCTGAACCACCAACAAAGAAGTGACAAAGGAAAATTCAAGCATTGCATGGTTGTGCCAAAGGGAAAATGCACGCTTATCAGAAACTCAAATAGAGCTGTATTTGTAAACTCACCTTCTCAATGTCCTCTAAAGTCTTGTAGTACTTTGCTTCAGTTTCCTGAATCTCCACTAAGCAGCAGTTTCTCTTGTCATCTTCTGTCATACCCATTTTCTGCAGTGAGAATCAGATAAAATAATCAGTGACGACGATCACTTTGAACAGTTATATATTGCTAATTGTTTCAGTGATTATTTTTTTATGTTACTAAGAATACATTATAGGCTAAAATAACAGGGTCAGCATCACTAGTTTGCAATTTAAAGGACCACACAATGCTTTGATGTTTCCATCAAATTCTGCAACACTTTATTTCAACCTGTACTTGAAAATTTTTTTAGAAATTTTTGTATAACACTACTGCTATAAGAGCTGACTGTTGTTTTTATGAATTCCCAACTGTATGAAAAGCAGACTTATGACAAAGTGTTTGTGTCGTGTAATCCATCAAGGCCGTCGACTTGCGTTATCAGCAAGAGATAATGCAGTGCAGTCTTCCAATACAGTCACTTTTAGTCAATTTGCATGTAAACTCCTTTACTCTGCAAACATAATGAAATACTGACAAAATGAATTTAGACTTCATCTGACAGTTTACACAACTTATAGTCAGCTGTGCTTTCCTTTGCCAGGATGATCCATCCTTCATCATCAACATCTCTTTTTTATGTAGCCTATGATTTGTCCAAAATTAAGAAATTTTTTAAAAGCTGAGACAGTAGGAACAAATCTAACTCCCACCCCCCCCCAAAATCTAACCCCCAATTATTGTTGTGTTTCTGTTAAAACAAGCAGGAATAAATGTAAAATTAGACATGTTTTGATACATGCTCGATAATCCAGAGAAGTGATTCTGTTCAACTGCAGGCAGCTGAACAGAGTTTTCCCCACAGGTTTCCTCAACTTTACAAACAGTGGTTATGTAACTATTGTTCATAGGGTTGGGGAAACCTGCAGTCAGCTGAGACTGGATGCATGATGAAACGTTTCTCCCACTGAAAGCTATACATCCAGATGAACAGAATCATTGAATGATTTTTTTTAATGTATCTGATTATGTCAAAGATAAATTTCTAGATGGTGATGACACTGGCTATGACAGAAGGATGCAAAATAATGAGCTTTTGAGCGTCACTGTATGTGTGGGTTAGCTGGTTTAAGAAGACATATGTAAAGAAATGTACATGAATCCAACGTTGTCAAGGCAAAACAATGCAAGCAGGCATGCTGTGATGGAGCCAGGTTAAGATGTGAAAAAGAGTCAAACTTCTTCAGAGGGCCTGATGTCTCCATCTTCAGATGTGTATGTATGTGCATGCTTTGTTGAAAGAACAGTATACTGTAAGTGAGAAACCCTGTTGATCATGGCGAAACACACCCACACACATAGGCTTTGTTTCCATAGATTTTCCTTTTTTATGTTGTAGTATGATTATGAGCACCCTGAGGAATTAATAGCTAAGCCATCTGGAGTAGATCTGGCTGTTGATAACCAGTGCTGGTAATACGAAAACTGGCACTAACAATGCAAAAATACAAGTCCAGGCCTTAGGCCAGCACAGGATCAACCAATCCGAGAAGTAGGGTTCAAAGCCAGCAGCATATTGTTTATTTGCTTTAGTGTGGCAGCTGGCGATGCTAGCTGAAGTCAGCACTGCAGTCACAGAGCTGAAGTCACTAGCTCTGAGTCAGACTGAACCAGATGGGGTATCGTTCACCATCGGTCCAACGGTCAGTAACTTAATTGGCAGATCTTTCTCTTGGGATGCTAGGAGTTGGTTTTAAATAAGGTGGTGGAGGGAATTTGCTGACAGGGTGTTGTGAGTCACAAGCACAGTGGCACTCACCTGCATGTATCTGATCTGCAGCATGAGAAAAGCAGAGCAAGTCAGAAGTAAAGATTTGTCACTGATTATGAAAGAGACATCTGCTACAGTTGAGTTTAGAGACACGATGTCATGCAGATACCGTACGACAATGACAAGGCCGACCACAGAAATAATCTAAAGCTAGTTAAAAGTGAGTGGGGGTGTTTCCTCTGGCACTATTAGTTCATTGCATTCCTGTAATGCAATTCGTTATGGTAAAATGAAATCATGCAAAAGAAAATTCTTCCAAAGAGTGGGGAGAGTTGCACTGATTTAGTCATAGACCGTCACGTAGCACATTTGTACAGTATATTAAAAAACAACAACAAAAAAACGCAATCAGTAATTGTGAAAAGAAAACAAGTCCTTAATGATCAAACAGGAGTTCTCACCATGGGTTGTCGTACTTCCACTTTAATGATGTCCTCATAGATGTCGTCCCCATCATCCTCGCATGGCACACAGTCATAGATGTCATCCTCACCCAAGTCATGTTCACTGGGGGAAAACACATGCACTTTAGATGAACAAGTCCATCTAACCACCAACCTTCAAAACCAAATGATAAACAGTCTTTTCTCACACCTCCACGTCAAACTTCTTTGAGTGCACAGAGCAGGTGAACTAGCTTGTTATCCTTAACAAGCCCTGCCTGAAGGATACTAGTGATCTAGGCAAGGGAACACAGAACCTGGTGTTCACAAAGCTCCAATAAGTTATGAAGTGGCATCTCTCTTTAATGTATTTATGTTGTTTTGGCACCCAGCTAGCTCACTGACCTTTAATTAGGCAAGCAGCCAGCAGAGCACCGACAGTTACTGTGGAGAGGAGGATCTCCTGGGAAAGATTCTCATGCTCTGTGAGCCAAAACTGTGTCTCCCCCTGCTCCGTATAAGCAATTATTGTTTGGGAAACTTATTGAGGCGGCAGGGATCCCGCAGCAGGAAAACACTTTGGCAAAGGGCCCATCTCGATGCAGTTAATAAGAAGGGAGCTTTAAGTCGCAAAAGGGAAATAAATGATTAAATACTGTAAATAAATAAAGAGAGTTGCCTGCTAAATAACAGAGGGCAGCTGTTTGAACTTGCTCGCTTGTTTAAACAAAATTCCATTTACCTAGGCTGTATTCAGACACAGGGAGCGTAATGTTCTTGTATTACAATAAGTTGCCATAGATTCAACCAACTTCAGTGATGAAGCCCTTTCTTTTATAATTAGTTTAGAGCATGATGAATAAGCTGTTAATTACTGTACTTGGTTCTGAAGGGTGCTTTGATCGTGATTTCTAAACAAATATATGGACATTTATTCATGGTGAACATGGGAAATATCATATGCATCTAAAAATATGTCTGTGTTATTAACTTTAATGGTGGTCTGACTCCCAAAAGGGATGCAAATTTAGTCACTAAAGGAAAAAAAATGATCTTAATTGCTTCCACGCTCTGTGCTGAACTCCAGTTTCTGTGAGGGTTGACAACCAAGACACACAAATGTACCATCCACCTCCATCTTTTGTTATAGTTCCCAACATTCGCTGCCCTGAAATCTTCGGGAAAAGGACGCCTAAGGTTGAGGCTCAGCGAGCATCCGCTCTTTTTGAATGTCCTTGAGCAGAACACCAGCTCAGGGGATGCTGTTTTGTACTCTGACCTCTCTGAGTGAGAACAAGAAAGAAGAGGGTTTGCTCTTCTTGGATGAATGCTGAATCCTCCAAGTGGATGTGCATGTGATCCCTAGCACATAAACCTGCCTGTTTGTGCATTCTTGAAGCACAAACCTCACTGCAGTCTGGCTAATGGGGGCCATAACCCAGCTGCCGTTATACCAAAACAACCAGATCCAGACCACAAAATCCTAATTCCCCTTTAAGATCACTGAAATTGGTTATTTTGTTGAGCTTTCATAAGATTTATTAATTCATGCATATTTGAAAACAAGATTTTGTAGCACAGGTCTACAAAAAAAAAAAGAAAAAAAAGAAATCTTGTTTGTAGGTTGGTGGATTCCATCCACTGTGATGTGACCTTCTACACGTGCCATCAAGGCAGTGGCATCCCTGCTTTCACTGCTGTCAGGGGAGGAAAAAAAAGCGAAGTGAGAGAAATGCCCTCAATCAAATATGCAGCTTTACCGTAATGCTGGTGCTCAGGTGCGTTTGAAGTTTTAATTGAGGTGACTTGGTTCACTATCAGCACTGCGTTCCATCTTTCTTCATTAAGTAAAAGTGTCTCATGTTGAATACTGAGAAGGCTGCGTGGGAGGACAATGGCCACCTGATGCTGTCCCTTCAGTATCTCCTCTCTGAACTTTGAGACTACCGCACTCTCCGCAGACACAGATGAGCGCCATGACAGAAAGGCTCTTTGGAAAGCAGGTAATTCACATATTTTTTTGTTTAGTTCCTCAGACAGAGCTTTATATGAGGGAGGTTTAGTGCAGTGACATGAATGTTGCCTGTTAAGAGATCGAATAGGAAGTTTGTAATATCTAGTTCGTTTTTATCTATTAGAGAAAGCTTGGCTCACTGGAACATTTGTTAACATCTGTTAGCTTCTTCATCTCTCTTAGTTATTCAGTTTGTCACTGATCTTTTTTAGCAAGTAAGTTCAAAATGTATGCATGTTCTTATTAATGATTAATGAGTAATTACTGCATTATACTGATGAACCAGATGCGTAACTGATTATGAAAGCCAAACTTTTCCTCTTTCTTATTTCGATCCATATTCAAAACATCATGCCAAGTTTTACTAATATGTGTTTTACTTATATGCCAACAGATATACAATATTTTATCTTGCTTGCATTTAGACAACCAATATTCATTATGATATTTTCCTTGTTGATTATAACAGATTGTTGCAAAATAGCATTGAGACAACATTGGAAAGGAGGTGTTTTACAACCGTTGTCATATCATTAATGTTAAACCAAGGAAACAAGTAAAGTAAATAGCAATCATTACCACACTGCTGAGCATTTTTCTGCTGGGAAATTTTGGGTCCTGGAATTTGTATGTATTTTCCTTTTGAAATGCACCACCCACTGACATTGTTCAAGAACAAGCACATCCCCTGGGGGAGGATGCTGCTATAAAGGTTTTACTAGCACAGGACACCACAAATACCTCCTCAGAACTGCTTGAGGAACACAACGAAACAGCCCAAGGCATTGATCCAGCCTCCAATCTCCGCAAATCTTAATGCAATTGAGAGGACTGGGGGGTACAATCCTGAGCCACAGAGGTCCTGCCTGACAAGACGCAAGACGTCAAGCATTGGCTGCAAACGTCCAGGTGGGACCGTCTGTGCTGTTCTGGTCCAATATAAGCAATATACCCACCCGGCAGATGGTTTTAATGATGTGGCTGTTCAACATAGTATGTGTAGTCAATCAAATCTGTGTGTGTATACACTGTGGGTATGTGTGTGTGTACACACACTGTTAGAAAGGGAGAGAGCAAGAAAACAGTAAGATCTTTCTATCCAGTTTAGTAAGTCACATGAGAATTATACAGCTTATTTCTTTATACTTAATAAAAATTGCATTTATGTGCATGTGCACATGTGTAACCATCACAGTGAATGATTAAGGAATGGAAGTAGAGGACCTAAGGACTAACAAATTGGGTGTGATTTTCTCTCTGATTACACAGTGACAGGCTTAAGGCTGTCTAGTGTGCTTGCATGCAATTGGCCTGCTGTAATGTGCTTCCGGCCTTCAATGACATAGAGTTAACATGGGGGTAGTAGAACGTGACTCATCATATCTGAGCTACTGAGCACATGTCTCTGAAGGCTTGGCTGCTTTGTGTATTTTTATTTAAATTTAAAAAGTTGTTTTTCTTTGTTACTGCTTCAATATTCTGCTCCAGCTCTGACCCTCCACACTGTAGCTACTAAACTGCATTTGTGCAGTTCAAAATCAGAATAAATGGGGCAGTAGTTTAGCTCACTGGGATGTGGGGAAAAAACCCTGTGGGATTGGCACATATACCACAGAGGAGAGCACAGATATTGGGGCAAGGTACTATAAATGGAACCTGGAGCTTTCCTTAAGGTTTAGGGCCACAAATGTGCCTCGCTGTAGTACATTCACCGCATTTTGATAATGTGCACATGAGCAGGGAAGGTTTCACTACACTGCATAAAATACTGCATCATGGGGACACTAATATACTTTGGAAATGTATAGAAAGAAATCTTGGCTATATATAAAACATTAGTTTGATGGAAAAAACTGGGAAAGCACCTGATATCAACACCCTCGGGCACAGATTCTGATAACCTTAGAGGAATCAATACTGTACTATTTCCAAAAAGGCAGCAATGCATATGACATCATTAATAGCACAGTTTCTCTCCTTGATTGTAAAGATTAAAAGATGATAAATACTATTACTATGTAATACCAGTCATTTAGAGGCATGATGCTACTTAATACCTTGCATTAAGAAAAAAAAAGAAAAAAAAACAAACCTTAACTGAGCTCACTTCATGTTATTGACTTTTCATGTCAACCTGCCTGAGGGATTAATGGAGCAAAATAAAATGCAAAAGAGTGACACAAAAGGTTTGTGACAGTGCATGCTTCGGAATGGAAATCTATGTGTTCCTTTCGCAGAGCAAGAGTCCCTTGGCGACTGTGCCCAATCCACCCTGATTTCATGGTTTGTCAATTCCAGGATGGAGTCATTCCAGATGGGAAGAACTCTCAGCTAAACGATGTGAGGACTTGACTTGAGAAGGCCAGAGGGGAGAGGCACAAAGTTTAACATATTAACCTGTGAGACCTCAATTAGGATGAAGGCTGACCTCTATCTGAGTCATACAGTATACTTGTGGAAACAGATACAGTCCAGCAGAATGCCAAATCATCATATACAAATAAACCATAAGTGCACCTATCAGGAAATCTCCATTCCATTCATTTGCACTGAACATTTCTGGGTTAGCCCATAATGACTGCTTAAAGTATCATTTGACATTCTTCCGCCATAATATTGTAATTATGGAAATCTTCTTGCGACAAACCGTCACATGCCTAAAATGACACATGCAATTTTCAGGTAATCGAGAAGTGGGCATCACATGTCTTGCCGCCTCACTCTACTCCAGCAGCGCCCATCAAGCAGTATTTGCGGGGGTGATAATGTGCCTGATGTGAGCTCTCTCTCTCCTTGTGTGTTATGTGTAAAAAAGGGTAACTTGACCGCTGTGACGTGACGACGTCTGCAATTCATGAGTAAAAACAACTTCAGCCAAGCAGACACGAGCTCTTTTTCATGCTCACTGCGTTCAGGAGAGACTCTATCACCTGCAAAAGCTTTGACAATTGTGAATTAGGAAAAAAACATTAAACACAATCGCTGAACTTCACCAAGTCATAAAAGGTTGATTTCATTCCCACATGAGCGGCCAGAGCAGCAGTTTCATCTCAGCCGACATAATGTCAGTTTTTAAAACTCAAGTCAAAATCCATTTTTACAGACATCGGTCAAACGCGGTTAGCACCCACCAAACTTAATGATGCAGTTCTATTGATTTCTATTGTTTGCTGTATTATTTCTGTTTTACTTTTCCCATACAGCTTTTCTTTTCCACACTTAATATTTTTGGTGACAATATTGCAGTATTATTTCCTACATGCTGTTGTTTTTATGACACCATATGTCCTGCCATTGCACTATTTTCCTCCACTGGGATGCTTGTTGCACAGAATAGTTTTACATCCATAAAAGTTATTACTGCGGGAGGATTATCGCTGTCCTCTCTCTCACTCTCGCAGTTCAGTCACGCACCCGTCGTAAATTACGTGCGCATCAATATTTCAGACTAATTAATAAGCCTCTGAGAGCAGGGTTATTGCTAGCGTGGCCTATGTGCTACTGTGTCCAACTGTATTAAGTGAAGGACATGCTGATGAATCAATTATGCTTGTGTCCATTGGTGAAACTAAATGCATAGATGTTCAGTGGAAAAGGTCAAGAGCAGCTGCACTAGAGAGCAGCATGATTAATTTAATAAGACCCAGCCCTCTGGACCTACAGGTTACACAAAGAGCAAAGTGTTACAACACCACTGACCATTTCAGGAAAAAGAAAAGATTAACTCAACCTGCTGCCATGGTTACAGAGGCTAAAACCCATCAGTGGAGAAAGGACATTTTGGAGGTTAAAAGTTAGAGGCAAGACACTAGTGCAGTCGATAAGTGTCATAATGGAACGCCTGTGACTGTTTGCTGTGCTGGGCTATTGTTGCTACTGAGGTACACACTGACTAAAACCAGCGCATCTTTCAGCAGTAATTTCAGCAACCTGGACAGTGCACACCACTGTCACTTTTCAGGTGTATTTAGAACCACGGTAAACACAGGGAGCCTTGAATAAGATTGACTTTTTTTTTTATTATACACACACACAAAAAAAATGTTTCATGGGTTTCATGGCATTACTCCACAAGTTTTCAAATTCTCTGGTTAAAAATCATGCGGTATCCTGATTAACCTCAGGAGTTCTTAGGTAGGCTCCAAACATGATTTATAAGTTGTCCTCCCACACACAGAATTGAAGTTTATAAAGAAGAATGTGCAGAGAGAAACGCACCAACCTCGCTCACGCTACACACCATGAATACAGAGATTGGAGGGAGGCAAGCCCACAAAGTGGATAAACTGAAACAAGACAGGCTCAATATAACAGTTCAGACAGTCTGACGGAGTTTTTCCTGCTGTTTTCTATTTAAATAAATGTTTATTGATATATAAAATTTACTGTTCACAAAAATCATACCCAATTATTGATTTGCAATTAGATTTGCAGGGATCCTAATGATAATGTTAGGTGTTAGAAATAGCTGCTGCCATGCATAATGGTCTCTTTTCCTGCTGCAAGCTGTTGCACTTTGTTGGCTGTCATTTGTAATCCAACTTTTTCTTTTTTTTTTTCTTTTATCTCTGCCATTGTTCTTTGCTCTGTACTAGATAAGGAGTACAATTTGTGTGCCAATCTGCGAGCACACCGTGTTATTTTTAGAAAGCCTGCATCCACGCTGTCCTTTTCACCTCACGCCATATCTGTGCACCTTGGCTCTCCCTCTGTGTCTCACTACTTGAAAACCCCTTCTCTAAATAAATGGAAAACAAAAAAAGGAAAGCAGCCTCTCACTATGCTCTTTTTCTTTTCTTTTTTTTCCCTTTAGTTTATGTTCCATGGTAAAAGCCCATGTTCCAAGTTTTCAGGGCTTCATATCTGGAATTAAATCCATTACTAGCCGTTTTGGCTAGCCCTGCTCTTCTGGTGCATGAGAAGATGCTAAAGGATGATTATGTATTCAGCGGGCATATATCTATAGCTCGCATGCTCGCCTTTCTATAACTCGCTCTCCTCCCTCCTATCTATCTGTGATAAATGACACCATTCTCAAAGCCTTTAACTAATTATTTTCCATTAATCCGAGTCAAGCGGCTGCTGTCATCGCTGCCAACTCTGAGCGCATCTTTCACAGACAGAAAAACCCACCAACCCACCTAATATGCACCAAACCAGGCAGCCCGTTACTGAAGGAGGTATAGAGGCAGCTAAACCTGGAGTGATGCTGGTGTTACTGTGGCAACAGGAAGAGTGACACAAGGCTCTATGCGTGTGTAATTAAGCAGTTAGAGGAAATTGGCAGAAGTGACAATCACAGTTCACTTTTAAACTTCGCGAGGTGCGTCACAACCGACAGGTAGAGAACTGTTACATAGTCAGATGCTTTTTTTTTTTATATAACCGGTGGTTCATGTGAGCCTATTCAGATTAGAAAAAACAATGTAAAACTATACATAAAAATGGGGGTAAAGAACAAATGAAAAACAACCATATGCTGTATGTCACTTTAGTAGATGCAGAACAAGCTGTTGTTTGTATATTATTTATCTGTTGCAACATAAAATTATAATGAAAAAACTTTATACTTTATAATTTTATAAATCTGAATATTTTGAAACAATGCCTAAAAATTTTTAAAGAACCTGGCATCGCTATACAAATATATGTGCATATGAATATGCAAAACTTGTGGGCCCAGGGTAAAACCTTTGGCACTGTGGCCATTTCATAAGTGCGAAACATTTCACCTCCCACATCCAACTTTATAATCAATGATTAGCAATTAAAAAGGGTCAACATTTAAGTGCATCAGTCTTTTGTGTTAATCTTTGCCACAAAAATCTAAATTACAGAACTCAGTTTCAGTCTACATTTCCCCCTGGTTGTCCATGTCCTAATCTTTATGTAGGACACCCTCGACTGAGTTGGCGTTTGCTAGGATATATGGTGTTCATGGTTACATTTAGGGTTAGGAAAAGTCTTCGGAGAAATAACACAAAGTCCCCCTAGGTGACGAAAAACAGTTTGTGGTGAAAAGAAGACTTACTCTGCCAACTCCTCCAGGCTCCGGTACACATCATCCTCATTCTCAGCAGTATCCTCCGATGGAAAAGGTCTGGCACACACGCACACACACATATGCAGACACAAAAAAACAAAAAAAAAAAAACAAAAAACAGAGAGTGAGACAGAGTACAAAATGCTTTATCACTGCAACAGCTCAGTGTTCCAGGTAGAAAAATAACTAGTCAGAAACGTCATGTTACATCTGTCAGGTTGCCACTCTTTGCTCCATCATTTCAACAGCACAGGGGCAGAATCTATTCAACAGAGGACCCCATCAGTCACAAACAACATTGTCAAAACACATCAACATACTGCTACTGGCTGATAAAAAAAGAAAAAAAAATCTGCCATCTTCCACCAGCCAACCTTCTCAGGAATTCAGGAAGGAATACACTATTTTTTCTTCAGATGGCTAGGCAGGTGGCTCATATATCCTCTCACAGGGTTTTTGGACAGCTTGTCAAGGACCCTCAGGGGCAATGTAAGGGACTGACTATGAAATACAAAAAATGACCAACCTGAATGCAACCTTCACTGCTTACACGAATCAACTGATCCTATGCTGAAATTTCCCTTTCCTGCAAACACTGTCAACAAACAATCCTCCAAAGGAGTAGCAGAGCATAGAAGTGGAAGATTAATCAACTAAATCAATAAACAGCATATCTTTAACTCCAAGATTTCTGCCAACTTTACTCTCAAATGCATGATCAGTGTAGATCTCAAACGACCAACGCTGTTAAATATCCTTTTTTACCAAGAGCAGATTGTGACTGCTGCAGATTATAGCCTATTAGCTTAATGCTGTGCACAACTGAAACCCATTAAAGTCACTGAGGTCATGATCAGTGCTAATCATCAAAACACAAATGGCAGAGAAACAGTTTGTGTATTATTACTACACACACTCTATACCCTAGGACAAACAGTAAACCTTATGTAAGTCTCCAAATCCATAACACTCACGTTGTTTTACAGCTTACACAAATACTACAATTATTATTATTATTTTAATACAATGATAACAGCTTTTAGAAAAGTAAAGCATGGTTTCTTTTTTGGTTTCCCAGAAAAAGCAGAGCACCAGAATTGGACCTTGGACCTCCATTTTATGCCACTGTAAGTGATTTCACTTGCAAGGTATCAGATTTTAGTTTCAGGTGAATCGCATGTTATTCGTCTTTCAACATTAAAGCCGTTCATATGTGGTGATGAGGTATTGTTGTACAATTATGAGGCAATAAGCCTCACTTCTCTGTTTGCCTTTTTTAAAACACTGAGAGTAGAATTAAAGCAGTTAACTCTACTGACATTTATTAAGTCATTTTCAGTTCACTTAACTTAATTTTTTAATTCTCTAACTGCTGCATCATTTCCCAAATCTGGGATCAAGTATTTCTCAGCTCATCGTAAATGAACAAATAAAGTGGTGGTTATTTTCATGTGGGAGAATTTAGGAATTAGAGTAGAGCACAAAAGGGACAGCAAATGAAAAAGATGTCACTGTCAAGACTGAGAAGTGAGCTGGAAGCTGATGTGGACTCTTCAGTGATGATACAAGACAAGACCTTCAAAGCTCTCACAAAAGCCCTCTCCTCTCCGTTAGCGCACAGCTTTGAAATCCTTTGACTGTGTTTAATCCTATGATATGATCAGAAGAGTGAGACTCAGTTCCATGCCCTCCTAAAAAGCCAACTGAAGTGGACTGCGTCTCTGTAAAGCTGTGTGTATGTGTGACACCAGTAATTAGCCTTTGTGTAATTAGAACGTGTCAGCCATCAGGGTAATGAATGCTCAGCTAGACAGTCAAAGGTCAACTAACACACACGCACAATACTGCATGAGCCGCTTTGGTTTATTTATTCTGCTAACTGTTCCATGCTTAAGTGCTCTAACTTTATTAAAACGCATATTTTCAAAAGACAATTACAAGTACTACTAACACAAAAAACTGCCTCATCTGATTTATGTTACCTTCTCGCTAACTGTTATGAAGCACACAGCGCGCTTTCTCCGGAGTGCAATAACACACCCACATCTGAAGGCCCCCTCCAATGAAATGTGCATTATATTATAAGTTATTAATGGAGTCCCGCAGGGCAAAATTTAATTACATAGTAGTTTGTGGAGATATGCACTCGTATCTATCACCTCTGTGTTGTTTTGCGGAGCCAAGCTCTGTCCGGTGCTGCTGTTTTCATTTCTCTTAATGGTGCAACGAGGTACAATTGAACTATGTTCATAATTTCATCAGTACACCTCTGATGAGCTGTCTCTTGGCTATTCAGTGCTAGAAGGGAAGGGGGGGGGGGGGGCACTCGATTACATGCACGGTTTCCAACTTTCATGCTTTAGGAGTGCGACACCTGCTTTCAGTCTTTGTCTCGCCTTCTCAAGCTGCTCAAACTAATCTCATTGCAAATAAAGCGAAGCCTCGGAGCGCATCCCTGGTGAAGAAAACTGCTACATGTTAAACAGAGGTTTCAGAGGGGGAAGACTGAAACAATTCAGCACCAACTGGTCTCCAGACTTCATAGAAAATGGTTAGTCGAGGAGCACATTACCTTTGGAAAATGATTACAATTTCATGTCACTGACTCTTGCATCATTCACCTCATTTCCCTGTTTTACTCCAAAATGTAAAAATGCAATGGACACCACATTAATGGGAGCTGGTGAATGATTTGTGTTTAGAAAATGTTAAAGATTTGTTTTTTGCTTGCAGATATATTTTTAATTTTAGTTTTGCCTGTGAATGCATCGCATATCTGCAGGAGTCTAATCATTAGTTAGTGGCCATCCACACTGAGTCATGAGCTTCATCACAGCTGTCCAGATGTTTTTCATTTTACTTCATTTTTTTGTTGTTATCCAAAAAGAAAATAGAAGAAGAAACCTTACAGCAGTAAGACCTGGGGTCCCTGCATGCAATGTTTCTCCTGGAAGAAATTCATTATTAAGCATACATATATATGATGAAAAGATGTATCAAATGTAGAATTTTTATTTATATATATAAATATATATATATATATATATATAATATATAATATATATATATATATATATATATATATATAAATTTACAAATTTAGTTAGACCAGTCACCCAAGCGTAACATTTATGTCAGCAGGCTGCACTTATTTACGAGTTTAAGTAATTAACAAAAAACATATATATTTCTTTAATGGTTTACCCACAGAATTTATTAGACCATCACCCAACGTAAAGCTAAAATATAATTATTGTTGTTACCCATGAAGTTACTGTTAAAGCACTTATGTTTGTTTGTTTTGTTTTTTTACAGTTTTGCATCCCTGAACAGAAAAATTAGTCTTAATGCTTTTATGTTATGCTTGATTCATTTTTGACTTCTCAGTGTGCCGACTCAAATTTGGGTATAAAAACACAAATTCAGTTCAGTAACTGCTGCAAGTTTTGGTTTTAAATACATTTTTCCCAGAGTTCTAAAATATCTGTGTTGTGTGTGTTGTTGTTTTAATTTGAATAAGAGGTGCTCTAATAAATTTGTTAAGCACTGTATACTATATGTTTTTTTGTATTTATATTTTTTGTCATTTAAAAATACTTTGAAAAGAGACTAAAAGAAATTCAGTATTTTTGTAATTGTAGCCATGTATAACCAATGAATTTGGTGTCTTTATGTGTTTTTGCCTACTTTTAAGCATTGAGGTATTTCTTTTTCATTTATTTGAATGCTTTTTTACTTTAATTCATAGCAGGTGAATGACGAATTGGATGATTCAACTTTTAAATATTATAGTCGCTTTTGTTATTTGATTTGAAACACCTCATGGTCAAACCACAAGAGGTAAAAAATCTCTTTAAGCACAGATAAAGCATTGTTTTGCTTTGGTTTTTTGTTTTTCTTACTTAACAATTTTCATAAATCAGAGTTCTCATCTTACACATTGCAGCTCTTCTTCCTTTCTCACTGAATTACATTACTGTAATGAACCCCAATGTCTTTGTGATCATGTCTAATTTATTCCACACTCTTCTGGTGTAATGGGAACTGTTAGTGCAGGTGTCCTGTACAAATCCGCAATGAGCCAGTCCCATTGATCCATTATTGTCAAACAGCAGAACAACAGTGTAGATGTTGTGTGTGAAAGCAGCTCAAATGGTCAGCAATGGAAGCAGTTTCATGTCCCAGGACACGGCTTCATTTCTGCAGGGGTCGATAAATCGCTGGAGCTCCAGCAAGCTTCCGCACTTTGCTACTTATTGTACCATGCTTGTCTATAAATCTCCCCATTCTCCCTGAAAACCCACTGCTACAGTTTCATTTCCTGGGGAGGGGCAGTGTGTGCAATCAGCATGTGAATAGGAGGGTTTTTTTCTTTTTTTTTCTGCAGAGCTGGATTCACAGCGCTTACAGAGAAATTAGCACATGCAGTACAGTCAAATGGTATATAAGAAAAACAGAAACGGGCATGCAACATGATGACTGTGTACTAATAAGCGTGATGTTCAGTGGTGTAAAGGGGCACAAAATAAACACAGTTAGACAGACGAAGTGTGTTTTACTATTCCTTATATCCTAAATAACAATAGATAAGTTCATAAACTAATACATATGTCAACAGGCAGATTTTGTTACTTTTAGACAGATGCAAGAACTTCCTGCTTCCCTTTGTTCTGTGTTTATGCTAAACTAAGCTAGCTAGCTATATTCTTCAGATTTTTAATTATCATAGAATATACATCAATATTCTAATGCAGTTCTCAGGAAGCAGAGATGGAGATGTCATCACCAATTCCTTATTTAGAAAGCAACTATGCTGTTTAGACATTGTTACACACACCTCCTACCATCTTTGTTCACCTGCTCTGTCTCTTCTCTCTGTCGTTTCTCCCTATAGCTGACTGGCTAAAGGATCTACATCTGCATGTAAAGAGGGAGAATGTTGGACAAATTTTCACTGCAGTTTTTTTTCCAACCTTTTGTATCATGTCTGGAATTTAAGAGGAAACTTCAAAAAGAATGCCTCATTTTGCAGCTTTTGACCCAAAACAAAGGGTTAAAAATGTTATAGTCTAGTTTTGGTCTCAGTTGCTTCTTCATTTAGCATATCTCGCAATTTTTCTGTAAGTCTTCTTTCAGGGAAGCTCCTTCTTATCCTTTGAGCTATACTGTAAATGCTTATCCATGAGCATGTAGCAAATTTCAAACAATGATTACAGAGTCTGATTTTTATTTTTGTTTATTACACTGATTAATTAACTCAAGTCAAACTTGGGTTTTGGTGATCTGAAGAAAGACTTTGGGTAAATCTGATGAAATATTTGTGACTGCCTGGAGGGAAGCCATAAAACTTTCAGTTTTCAAACTTCTGATATGATTAACCAAGATAAATAAATTTTTAAAAAAATTATCAAACCAGGGCTTCTTGGCTTGTTAGGCATATGTGCAAACCACCATGAAGCCACTATAATATTTAAAAAGTAAACATTCACAAATGTAAATACATTGCATGTGACAATATCACACTGGAGGATCATTATATTATGTCAACTTCCTGATCAGATCAGTCTATGTGGTGATCTGAGGTGTCCCACACTCTATGACCTGATCCCTCAGAGGCCAGGAGATACTGTACACTCAAACAGCAGGGATCAGTGATGAATTAGGACACAAGCACAAGCGGGTTGAAGGTTACAGTAGGGTTAGCTGAGGATAGTGTGTGTGGGCGGTAGGGTGGCTGTCTGGAGGGGGCTTGGGGTGACAACAGGGCAGAGGATGATGCAGGCTTATACTGCAGATAAGCCGTAAGAAAGCCAAGGTCAACACGTTTGACACACAAAAAGATGAGAACATGAGGCTTAAAAAAAAAAAAAAAAAGAGGATTTGTAGTTTTGTTACTGAAGAAGACAACGTCAATCATGAAGGCAAGCAGAATAAAATAGAAAATAAAATGGGACCAGTTAAGGTTTTAGTGCTAAAAATGTTGTAGGAGAGGGTTAAAATAATGCATCATCACATTTTAAATTTTGTTCTTTGCTAAATTGTCTGTTATGTGTAGAATTTGTTCCTGTTTCATCATTTGAATCTATGAAAAATGCCACAGATAACCACAATGCTTTTTCATCAAGGTTCTTAAAGAGCTATTAGACAAAATTTGGCAAATCTCAGTGCGGTGTGCAGTGTGTCTGAATAAAGTGAACGAGTGAAGGACAAAAGAAGAAGTGGCAGACCTAAAAAGTATCTACAACAGACGAACAGTATGTGAACGCCATATTCTTAAAAATAGGAAAATGTCCAGTAAAGACCTGACACAGGGCCTGAGAGATACATCTAGCCCTTCAGTTGATCTGTCTGTGTGGAGGAGGTACACAGAGATACAACAGTGAGTGTCTACAGATGGAGGCTGTCATGGTTTGGGGCTGCATTTCAGCCAGTGGTGTTGGGTATACTGTCAAAATCAATGGAATAATGAATGTGGAAAAGTCCCATTAAAAATGTAAAACACATAAGAGCACTTAATGTCCTTCAAGTTGCATGGAGAACTATTCCTGGAGAGGAAATACAAGAACGGTTCCCTAACAGAGTTCAGGATATGCTGAAGAATAAAGGTGGTCATACCAAATTTAGATGTTCAGGCTTGTTAGAATGATACAAAGTCAGTAAATTCCATAAATGTTTAAATGTTCAATAAATCACTGCACCTATTTTCCATTTCCAAAATTTAAAGAAATGAGAGGTGACTATAGACAGAAATTATACCAAAGGAAAATCAGCAGGTTCCAGGAAATGTGTGAAATCCTGAGTGATTTTATCCTGAGTGCATTTCTGTGCAATTACGTGTCTGCATGGAGAAATAAAGCCTTAATGCCCGACTCTGGCTGGATTGCTGACACAGAAACAAAGACATGAACTACTGAGCTCTGATTACAGCGAACAGACAAGATCAATGTGCTTCAACAAAACATCAAAGTCATGCCTGTGGCAATGTTATCCAACGATTAACACAATGAGGAACTTTCCAATCGGTCTACAGTTCAATGCATTGCCACAATGTGCTGTCTGTGCATGCACATTTAAGATTGTGGAGTTACCATCTGGAAATCGAGCCCTCCAATCTGAGGAGCCTAAGCTGGAAAAGAGTTTTAAAATTGCTCTCTAAAAAAAACCCTCCATTCCACAATATTCTTCTCAATCCAATTTCTAAAACAACCTTTCATGCACTGCTTGTGTTTGTGTGTAGCGCAACTAATTCAATCCAAATATATCAAGTCAAAATCCAGTCAAATAATGAAAGGAACTTTGTCAGGATTTTTTTTCTTCTTAATGTCTTTTCTTAATATTGAGTCACCTATTACATTTTTTTTAATTGACAAAACTGATGAAATCCCTGTTTGTGCTGTACTTGAGGGGAAAAAGAAAAGCAATGGTTTGCTACTCTGATAGTTCATTTTAATATTCACCTCGAACTCACCTGCGAAATGTAAATTTAAGTCACCACATCTACGGCTAGCATTTAGCATTAATTTTCTGCATTCTGGGATTTTCTTTTCTTTTTTTAATGTTAACTATTCGGCTTTAGAGGTGGCCTGAAGAGTTAGCTCTGAGGGAGTGAAAACAGTGTGCCACGATAAATCCTACCACACTTATCGATACAGCTTAAAAACCTATAAAAATAAAAAGGTAAAAGCACATCACAAGTATGTGACTTGCTTTTGCTTGCACTCCTCACTGCTGAAGCTTGAAATGTTCTTGTGGCTGTCATATTCAATAATTACTTTTCAAGTCATTATATTCTACAAATTTACCATGGATAAGAAATATATTCATATATACATACTTGCTTAAACTAAATATATGACACAATGCTAATAACAAAAACAAAGCGCTGACTTAGAATCGAGACTAAGAAATATTTCTAAAAAGCTTGAGGAGAAACAAAAAGACTTCTACTTAAGTGATAAATTATTTAACTGAAAAATAATAAAATAATAATATTAAAAACAATTAACTCTTTATTATCTTTGCAAAAGTTTAAAATTGTCATTTGCTTTTCTGAGAATAGATCACGTTAACATAACAAAATTTTAACAAGCATCTTAGCAGTACTTTTAATTTCCAGCCACTTATCAAGACAACACTTTGTATTATGCCATTCCTCTTCTGACACATTTCCCTTAGGATTTAGATGAGTGTACTCTTTAATATCAATATTCTTTTGTTCTGGCCAACAGTGAAATGTGACCCTACTTAATAAAGTCATTTTTTAGTCATTGTGATGAAGTTCTCATTTGTTTTGCTGGGGAGCAGACTAAGAGGTCAGTACTTACTTTTAGACCAAACAGCTCTGGGTTACTAAAGGCAAATACCTACTGCTTACCTTTCAAGCTTTTCTTTTCTGCCTGCTTTTACACTACAACTACAGTAAGACGTCTGAAGTGATATAATTCAGAGTATGCATCGATTCTTAATTTTATTCTCTTGTAATAGTTTTTTTCATCCTGTTCAGGTTCCCTCTGTATTTATCCACTGCCTGGTTGATACCTTGCAGTAAGTTAAGGGGGACTGTAGTGAATATTTTCATATTTCACTGAAACAAAAGTAAAGTTTAATAAAGCCTGGGTATTCAAAGTGCTGTTGTTAAATTTATATTAAAGTAGACTAAAGTCTGGATCAGTCACATCATGCCTACATCACCCAAAGTCACAGTTATGTTAAAAAAAGACATAGGGCAGAAGCTAAAATGTCTTTAAAAACATAGCTATAGAATCTACGATAGTCCCAGTTATAGCAGAGAAAAGAGGTACGACCTCCAAAACTATCTAGAACTGTGACTTTAGCATTGTGGCGGCTGATCAATCAGTTAAAGGGCAAACACTCCAAAAATAGTGAAACTCAAAAAACTGAAAAGTTACTAAAAGTAAAATAAGTTGAGAATAAAAAGTCCTGTGATTTACAATGAGGTCAAATGAGCATTGATTTTGACACCTCACAGCAAAATGGTCAGCATGCACAAGCAGTGAACTAGCCAGCAGTCAGCGGGTTATGTTGCCTTTATTAATGTCATGGGACCTGCTTTCTCTCTGTCACTCTCTCGCTCCCTGTTTCCTTCCCCTCCCTTCATTTCCTGGCACAGCTCCTAACGGCTGTGCTCCATCAACTCATTACTCAGACAGATAAAATGTCTTTTTATGTGTTGCCGGTGAGCCACCGAGCTCCAAGCAGATCAAGCAAATGACGAGAACTTAGGAGCCCATTCCAATAAATGGGGAGAACTCTCTCAACTTCGCCATTACTTGAGACTAAAAATGACTACTCTTGCATGGAATGAAGTATTCTGACTGCGAACGACACAGCGCTGTCTGAGTGACAGATGGGAATGTATTGTCAGTCATTTCTGTCCTGCATGATAATGTGGAGGTTGAATGCTGCTGCTAATTGCCTAAAATGTAAATTGAATTTCAAATGAGCAGCAGACGTTAATAGCTACATCCATTTTAAAATAGGCTGGTAAGAAAATGTGGAATCGTTCCAAATGGCTTCTTTGACGCTGATATTTGGAAGTGATTCAGCTGTCTAAAAGACAAATGAGAGAGAAATGAGACTCATACCTGATGCCTTTGATTTGTGCAATGCTGTGGTGGGAGATCCTCGACAGAGCGGAGATTACCTGAAAAAAACAAAGACATGAAACGTTAGAACAATTAAACTACAAATTTCTTTCATCTTTGCTCTTATGTTTGAAGACCTCTAATGAACTAAACATTCAGTTACAGTTACGGTAACCACAAATTACAGTAACTGACTCATGATGTCATCTTAAAAGGCTGTGATCACACTGAATACCAGAACACAACCAGTTTGTTGACTTGCCAGTAACCAGTTTTGTGTCCCTTAACCTTTGATTCCATGAAAATCAGCCATAAGTCTCTGTGCTGCATGTAACAACTCTGTTACAACAAGCCTACTTAGTAATACGTTTCACTAAGTAGTAAACCATATTACTAAACACTGACTTATGGAGTGTCCTTGAGCACAACATATCTGAGATATGGGAACGTGTGGCCTACAGGCTCCTCGCTCCCTATTTTACATAAGCATCCTCTCTTGAGCATTTGTAGAATGACTAACTCAGGGGCAGTGCAGGTCATCTGCTAACTGGAATGTTGGGGTTTTGATCCCTGGCTTCTACAGTCTACATACTGAAGTATCTTTAGACAAAATATTGAACCCCGAGTTTCTCTGTGACGTTCTCATCAGACTGTGAATGTGTAGGAATGCTAGATAGAAAATGGTAAAAGAGAAAGTGTTGGGTGACTGAGGCATGTTGTATAAAGCGCTTTGAGTATACAAGTAGAGTAGAAACGCACTATATAAGAACCAGTCCATTTACCATTTCAGTGGTGTCAGAGGAAAAGTTAGAACAGTGCTCCATATTTCAACTTTTGTTTTTGTGTTATGGCATTTTGTTGTGAAGCAATTTGAAATGTGCTTTACAGATAAAACTTTACTTATTTATTGAATTTAAACTATACCAGCTGGCTGTGCAATGCTTTGTTTTCATACCGCTACACCTTTACCCCCAATGTACAAGACTGTGTCCACCACTTTCTGTAAAACACAAGCATCCCATACATTTACGGCAATCTTTTTTTCTTGCAATACATTCTGATATGCTACTAAGAATTCACCATTAAAACATCTTCATTGCATCTCTGCATAATACTGTCGAAAGCAGTCTTCTAACACTAAAGCAGCTGCAGACGGCTTCATTATACTGTGTTCCATTTTTGTTTCTTGTTATGCACCACGTAATTATTCTAATAATAAATCAGAATTGAAAGACTTTATGATTTATCATATAAGCGATTGATCGTTTGTGTCCATTTCAATGGATTTTAACAGACAGGCTCCAGAAAGAAAAGAAAAAAATCAAAGGCAACAACAGAAGAAGAAAAGTAAAAGACACCAGAGGGGAAGAGCCACTCGCATTTACATCGTATATGCTGCAGTTAAACAAAACACACTCCGTGCAGCTCCTCTGTTCTTTGAGGGTGATTATCGAACATTACTTGAGCGTTTCTTAGCAACCCCTCTCATGCGTATGCAGCTCCACACAGGACTGTGTGTAAACATAATGCAGGCCACCATGTTAATAGTAACATTCAAAGACATGCGGTGCAGAGCCTCGGCTAGGTGGCTGGCAGCTTTTTTTGTAAAGCCTCCATACTTTAGCTTTTTAGTTTTAAACGCTCAAATGTGTCTGTGCATGCATTTAAGTTGATTTGTTGCTGCTTATGAGTCACACGCAAGTGGGCTTACGCTAAGGACTGCAGATGGTGCGCTTGCAGGCCCTACAGAGGCTAGTTCAGGAAGATGAGGACCACCGCCCCAAAACACACGCACACACACAGACACACTCACACACAAAAAAACACAACCCCCTGTCTCCTATGCCTCATTACCCACTCCTGGGTGTATTTCGGGTTGTAACACCGTGGCAATGCCAGATGTCTCCTCGACAGGGAGGACAAAATTGTTCCTTGGCAGGTGTGCCATCGACAGCGTCTCATCAAATTCCCTCTTCTCTAAACACACAATGTGGCACCTCAACGCCTTTAGTATTTAACATTCAACTTGAGCACATGTTAATGGCTGTTATGAAGCGAAGACCATCAATTTCGAGCTGTGGAGTGCTTGTGTTGAAGTGCTGTTGTCCACTCTCTCTATTCAAGGTGTTCTTGTCTTTAACATAATCAGTTACACGGAGTGCATATATGTCACATTCATTTACATCAAACCACTCTAGAGGGGGAATCCCTTTATTCAACCAGATAATAGGAGGTTATTTCTCTGAGCTGCTAAAGACCTGCGTAATGGAGTGTTTTGGTCGTGCTTAATGGTTTCAACACAGGGTCAGTCTAACATTATATACCTTCTTTACATATAGATTTGCAATTAAAGGAAATTAAAGGAAAGATACTGCAGTGTTAGGCCACCACATGCTGCCTGACCAGCTTCAATTCAAGTTGCTGTTGAATGTCTCCATCAGTCTGCTGACAGGCAGAATCATTGTTTTAAAAGATCCCTAATTTAGTATTTTAATCATGATGGTGGAGATGTCTTGCTTCTTTGCTGAAATTTTCACATGGATATTCAGCTTGTTAGAGATCTGGCCATTGTCTTTTTACTCATCTATACGGTGTTTTGGTGATTTTGCCAAGGTTGCATAATCAGAAACGAGTTGTTATGACTGCAGGATGCAAAGGGCAAAGTTTCAATTATTATGGCTGATTATCACCGAAAAGCCTAAAAATGGCATTCAGGACAGCATTAGTTTGTTTACAGGATAAAAGCGATTACTGAGAACAACTATGGATTGAGTTTTCAGAGACAAAGATAACAGTATGGCTTCTATAGTGTGAAGGTCCCCTTTATGAAGAGACTAAGGGATTATATTTTTGTTTTAACTTGACACCTATTTGTTTACTGTAAATAGAGATGGAGGCAAAAAAGGAAAAAGAGACAGATAAAGATGTGGAAAGAAGCAAGGGAGTAGATAGAAAAGATTACTATGTGTCTTTGTTTCAGGTGTCTGTGTTTAGGGTATTTAAGAAATCACTGAGGATAAACCCATTGTGCTGCTTGGTGGCATTTTGCCCACTTGGCAAAGCTGCAGGAAGGGAACGCATCTGGCAAACTGCCCCATCATCATTATTGAGGGGTTTTTTTTGTCTTATGAGCCTACATATTCTTTGTTGAAGGGTGAGAGACAGATGACAAAATTTAAAGACAGAACAAAGACAAAAATGTAAAATGCGAATGAAACAAGAGGATGAATGGGTGTACGCGCTTGGCATTTAATAGCAATTAATATTTCATGCTGCCTGCCATGATCAGCTGCACTCAGATCTGGCTAAACACAGGTGCCTCGAGCCAGGTTTGCCCAGGTTCAAAGGATAGCAGAGCCACTGGCTTCAAGCCAGAGAGGTCACAGCAGGGCCAGAGCCCGTGTGGCCTGAGGAGAGTGTGTGCCAGCACTGAGCATGCTAGTGTGACTTTCACACATTACAGGGTAAAGTCTATTAATATTAAATCTCAAGTTTCCTCAACATGAGGAAGTTTGTTCTCTTTTCTTAGTTCATGTTGGCTTCACACATCATAATGCGAAAAATATGTTCTCAGTACTTGGAGCCATGGCAGCTCGTGACTCACGCTAGCTTTGGTAAGAAATGCTAATTTGCAATCTGTTTTCAGGGCAGCTGAAGGAATGAAAAACTGTTCTCATGTACTGCTTATAATGAGGATTACGCTTCTTATTAATCTATTTAACGTACAGTTATTGTTTCACTATTGATGTCAACACATCACAAAGCTGTAAGACTATAAAAGGAATACAAGGGATACTGAAAGGATAACTTCAGGGGAGCATCCCTTTAATAGCTGGTCTTTTTAAAAAACCCTTTCTTTTTCTTCTTCTCCTTCCTTTTTTTTAAGAAACAGACTTGTTTTATCTCTTTTATAAGGTTACTGCTTCCAGCCTTTGCTCAAAGGTTGCTTGTCAGTCTCTCTTACTTTCTTCTCTTTGCCCATGTTTCTGTTTTCCATTCTACCTCTAATACACTCTCTTCAGCCGCTTCTGATCCTTTAGTTCAGTCAAAGCCTTTGAGTCCACGCACATTATTAATTCCCCTCTCATCTTGTACTCCCCGGGGGATCCTAACTCTACTGCTCGCTAGAGAATAAAGCCTCTTCTGCCCCTCTAGGAATATGGAAAATACAAGTCACACGATGGAGTAATATTGCAGGTTTTTAAAGCCCCGAAACCATGATCTCACCTTTAATCAGCACCCCCAACAAGCCTCTGGCATTCCCTAACCCATGGGTGACCCTTATTGTCAGACAAGATGAATGCAATTGAGGATGCACGTTAAGTCTCACAGCCTCAACTTGTGCTCACGGTTTTCTGCGCATGACCGAAATGTAACGTTTATAGCCCGTTTACTGCATAGGAAGGTGCGTGTGTGTGTATGTGTGGAGGAGAGAGCAGGGAAGGATGGGGGAGAGGGGATAATGGTTGCATCTGTGGACCGACGGGGCGAAGCCAAGTGTTTGCAAACACACCAACCTTACATGTCTCCAGACTCGCCACATGTGGCCTGTGTCCCAGCTGGGCGCCAAGCGACACCGCATGCGACCACCCTGCAGCCAATCAAAAGACCTGCACAACACAGGTTCCCCCTGGCAACCGGGGCTTGACTAAATTTGCATGGTCATCAGTTACCGCACTGATCAAATCAAAACTGCAGCCATATGCTATTAACAGTGGGAGGGTGTGGCTGTGATTTGATTAAGATCTGAACACAAGAAGACAGTCCGTCACAAACACACGCACACCCCTTTGCCAATTATATTTAGATCTGATGAAGTTATGACATGATTATGTGTCTGTGAAAGTTCTGATTATACCTTCTGCTGCAAATCAGTGCAAGTATTGGAAGCTATCCAGCAAAGAGGAAGAATTAATTAAAAATTCAGGACATTACTTTTATTTTTCTCTTTTCTCTCACTGGGCTCCTGCTCAAACAGTTAACTCCCTAATAGTGTGATATATTTATGAAGGATTCACACTTTGATTGGACAGCATTGCTATGCTCATGCCAGTCTGCCTAAGTTGTAGGCAAAAACCAAAAGGGGCACAGAGT